ATCTATATATATAATATATATATAATATAGATATAGATATAGAGATAGAGATAGAGATAGAGATAGAGATATAGAGAGATATAGAGATATGGATATAGGTATAGAGATAGAGATACAGAGATACAGATACAGATACAGATATAGATATAGGTATAGGTATAGGTATAGGTATAGATATAGGTATAGATAATATATATCCATATTTCCTTGAGCTTGTCGACTCAGATGTGCTTCCAGACTTGGAAGTGCAGCTCCAGCATCAGCAACTCCCCCTCCACCTACATTTATACAAGCCTTGGATCATCCCGATTCCCACTGGACCAACCTGTATTGACAGAAAATAAGCTCAGTTCAACTCAACCATAGACACGAATAAATCCCTGCTGGCCAACAAAGCCCGGCCTCTCTGGAAAGCTGGCTCTGAACAAGCATTTGGGGAGCTGGCACATCTCCTCGTGTCACGCTCCTGGCCCAGGCCTTTCTTTCCATCTTGCCCTTTTTATTCTCCCATCGCCCTCGCCACGACCCTTTTGTGCCCGGGTGCTGAGCCAGTGGGACCCGCTCGTCCGGCGCCGCTAACGCAGTTCAACAACAACATTTTTTCCCCTTTTCTTTCTGTCCCAACACATTTCATCAGGATTTTAAATTCTTTAGATTTACCCAGCCCATGTGCACGCCGCTGTCACAGGGCTCCCGGGCCAGCTCAGTCAATCCCAGCTCTGGACGGGCTCCAGCATCCTTGACACAGCAGATACTGTGGCAGGAGGGGATGGTCCGAATTAAACAGCCACCCAAATACGGGGTTACCATGACTCCCTGCTTCTTTCAGTGCACAACCGCTCTGGCCAGGACCCCTGCTGCTCTCAGCCCAAACACGGGCCCTGATGGCAACAAACATGGGCTCCTACAGCCAAGACATCTGATATACCACCATCGTGGAAGAAACTGGGGTTAGTTCTGCAGTCAAAGGCAAAAATACTAATTTAACTCTTCTGGGTCTGGGGGAAAAGCCTGGATGATAAAACCTGGGAGATCTCCACATGATGTTTTGCCCACTAAAATGCTACATGAGGCACTTCTGCTCCATAAAGTGGTTCAGTCCGTACCATCTGCCACCGCCTGGCGCTTAAATATGCTCCAAAGCAGGTCAATCATTTAACTACCTGCAGTATGTGATTTTTGTATCAGCTTTTCGTTTTCCTCTCTTCGCTCCTCTTATCTGCTTGTGTTCCTTCAAGGAATACCAGCCAAGAGCCTGATGGAAAATAGAATAGGAAACAGAGGAGGAGACATCCAGGATGGGGAAGGAAAACGTAGGAGACAAGCTAACGCGTCCTTCAGTTTTGCAATTCCATGGATTCAGCTTAGAAAGAGATTTTGGGATAAATGACATTTAACATAAATGTAGGCTTGCTGGCAAATTCGGTAGGACCACACTGACAGAGGTAGAGATCCACAAAACACTACAAAATACGGATTTTCGGGAAAGGATATTGCCAAGGCAACGAGCCAGTCCAAACGGAGGATTCTGGGGAAATGAGGATGCAAGATGCAAGAAATCACTCTGCCCAGAGTCTAACCCTTGTCTTTCCATCTCCAAATTTGACTTCTGAACTGGCTGCATCCTTACAGGTAACGTCTAACACACTCTACTGACCTTTACTCCTACAGAAACAGCGAGAGATGCTGCAAGGCTATTTCCCAGGGCACATTAGAAGAAATATCAGCAGGCTTTGTCCTTTTTCCTACGTTGCCCTCAGTCCCTGCTGCTGGCCACAAGTTAAATTGAGGGGCTGACAAGTGTGAGGAGCAGGGACACAACCCCCTAGATCAAGTCTTTGGTCAAAAGTTGTGCATTTTGTGGAATAAAACAGAGCTGGAAGGGAACGAAGTTGGTAAATGAGTGAGTGAAGAGACACTACTTCAGCAGGGTCTCACCAGGCGACAGAGGGTAAAGAGGTACAGATAAACATTTCTAAGCCCAACTTGGAGACTTTGTCAGCTGTCTGAGTTCATGTGAACATCAGAGAAGGCTCCTGGAAGATGAGGCTTTTCCCTTATTCTTGGAAAATGATGCTAATGCCATGGGGTTTAGGGACACACTGACACCAAATGACTGAGGGATGAACTCACTGGCTTCTTCTGAACTCAAGGCGCAACTCAACGGTGATAGCGGCTCCGGATAAAACCCCTGCGGGGCAGCGCTGTGCACCAGGAGATGGGAACCTTCTTAAATGAGTGCTTGGAGAGGAGCCATAGCCCATGTCTCATCTCCGCATGGGGCACAGGAACATACCCAGGGGTCCTCAGAGGAAGTCTCCCTTAATTTTGGTAAGAGAACTGTGGCAACTGAAGAAGTTGTATGTGCGGTTTATCAGCTTGGACTTAAAGGCTTGTTAGATTTTCGGGGCTATTTAATGATACATCGCCTCCCGTGGTCCTAGACCCTACTCGTGGGGTCCAGCAAAAGGAGGTTCACAAGGGCTGCAGTGACCCAAGCAAAGATATTCTTCACACACCTCTTTGTCACACAATGAGACAAGAGATTAAATTCATCTAATGACAAAAATGGCCTAAAACTCTGTGGATGGTCTCTGATCTTGTAGTTAAAATCAGCTGCAAACTTCACAGGGCTGGGGATGTCCTGTTGGCTTCCACAGCAGTCAGCGTGCCAGGGGGAGTCCCAAAGCATGCCCAAATGAAACCTGAATTAAACTAATTAGTTAGCAGCCAATAGAAAAGATGTTATAATTGAGAAAGAAAAATAGACCACAGGTTGAGCAACCCAACTCCTGGAAAGCACCGGGGACATCGGCGTCACAAGCTTTGCAAAACGCAGCCCCGATGATCACCTGTAAACCACAAAACTCGCTGGTTTGTGAGATCTCACCCTCTTACCTGACATCATTACCTCCATGGGCAAAGGATCCAAAACAGGCTGTTAAGATCTGGAGGAAGTGGAAAAGCAGATGGACCTGGGACGTGTCTTTCTCTTCCTTATCCTCTTCCACCGGCTCAACCGGGGGCCGGTTGGGATCCGCGATTTCGGAGGCCAGTTTCATCTCCACCCCACCTTCCTCTGCCTCGATCTCCGCCTCGGCCACGGCGTTGCAGTAGCTGGAGTAGCTGTCGTAGCGCACACGCTTCTTGGAGTAGGCAACGGTGTCTCCCACCAACTTCTCACTGTCCTCCGGCGTCGAGGTGTCCGCCGCCTTGAAGGAGGAGTGCACGGGCATGCCGCAGATGGCGGCGGTGTAGCACGTGTAGCTGTTGTTGCGGCGCAGCAGTTTGTAGGTGTTTTCGGGAGCGGGCCTCTCGTCGGTGGCCCTGTCCAGGTGTATTTTGTGGAGCAAGTCTTTGTATAAACCTGAGTCCTTGTGCACGGTGTGGTACACGTGGCCGTCGCTCCTCACCTGCCCATCGAAGCTGAAGGTGCCGTTGGAGATGGGCGATTTCACCGAGGTGTGCGTCATCGAAAACGCCCTTCCTAAAAAGAGAGAAATTGAGAGGTTTTTATATACATACATATATATACTATATACTATATACTATATACTA